CAGTTTGTTATTTTTTGTATCATTTTATAAGCACACAGGTAATTTATTTGTGTAAGATACGATTGCATCGAATTAATTACTCTATACCTAATATGCATTATTTCCTGAAGTAAATTTTTCTATAGGTTGGTTTGTATTCTGTAATAACCTTTCCTATATACAAATAACTGTAACATTTGGTCTGAAGCGTCAGTAGCGTGCGAGGGGGGGGGGGGTAAGGTGCCGGGTCCCCGGGCATTCATATCTGGAGGGCATCCAACGCAAAAAGTCGAATCGAATAGTAGAACCCTTTCCGTGAAGTTAAGCACAAAGCTACACAAAGGACAATTTGCGCTCTGCCCACCACGGGTATCGAAACCCTGGTTTCTAGCGTTGTAAGTCCGCAGACATACCTCTGTGCCACTGGGGGGCACGATGAACGAAATGAATAGCTTTTAAAAGTTTTTAAAAACTGATAAATAAAAGTTATAATAAAACGAAAGGCCTTTCGCGTTTTTCATCTTCATATTTAATAAATTTATTTATCAAGATTGGAATCTTGAGACCAGCAGCCATTTTTCTATGAATGTAAAGTTCCAAATGTACACCCAGCAGTGGCGGGTTTGGTTTGAATTTCGCTCAAAGCTACGCGGGAGCTATCTACACTAGCCGTCCCTCATTTAGCAGTGAAAGACTAAAGGGAAGGCTGCTAGTCACCACCACTATTCACCGACGAATAGTGGGATTAACCGTAACATTATAACGCTCCCATGCCTGACCAGTAGTTGCGGAAGAAGTAAAATTTAGTCATACCATTGTTACAACCATCGGAAGCAGCCGGTTCATCAAAAACAATGAGTACAACCATCGGGAGCAACCGGTTCACCAAAACAATGAGTTTTGAGATTTAAGATTCAGATCTGTTTTGTCCACGAATGTTCTCCAGAAAACGCAGTGTATTTCTACTCCTTCGGTTATTTTATTGGAGGGGATCAGGCCCCCTCCCGTTCCTTTACTTTAGACGTCACCATCTCCGGAAGATATAAAAAAAATTATTTTTAAACTAATATTTTTTGCTAACCTACAATAATGTTTGTTTTTGTTGATTTGGTGGGAAGTTAACGATAGACCTACTGACTTTTATCGGTATTCTTATCATTTTTCGAAACCTATTTTCACGATCTGAGGAAACGGTTTATTTCCCCACAGAATGTTATCGCTGTACATTATTTATAGTTGAGGATTAGAGTGCAAAAAAAAAGCCTCTTAATATTTAAATATCTCAGGTTTTATTAAGAGCTGAAGCTATTTCCCCCTGTAACTACACTATACTATAGTCTGCATTAACAATTAGTATGTTTGGGTGGGTGGGGTCAGTGGCGTGAAGAGGTTCTATGATGCCCGGGGCCTTGTACCTAAGACCTTGAGGAAGGGCAAACAAACAAACAAAATCGTTCGTCGTTGAGTTCCTCCATTAATTATATACTTTTAACGTCATA